CGTATATACGAGAAAGTAATAAAAAAGAGAAAAAAAAAGTGTGAAAGGTTGGGTACCATTTTGTGGATAATTTGTGTACTTGATACCAGTGGCGTAGGCAAGGTGGGGTTAGTGGGGGCTATAACCCCTCCCATGGATTAAAAACACGTATAAATAAATAAATAAATATATATATATATATATATATATATATATATATATATATATATATATATATATATATATATATATATATATATATATATATATATATATATATATTTATATTTATATATATATATATATATTTATATATATATATGTATATATATATTTATATATATATATATGTATATGTATATGTATATATGTATATATATGTATATATATATATATATATATATATATATATATATATATATATATATATATATATATATATATATATATATATATATATATATATTTATTTATTTTTTTATTTATACATATGGAAAAAATATTTGAACCCCTCCCATGACCAATTCCTGGCTACGCCACTCACTGCTCCCCCCCCCCCCCCCTTAAAAAATGTTTTCAACGACAGTAAAAGAAATCAAAGCCATCACCAGCACAATGAATATGTCACACAAGTCAGCATTGTGCCAAAATTCTGACGGCTTTATATTCTTCGATTTTATTTTGCCCACGCACGTAATAGAGGAGTTTTACTGTTGGCCTTGACACCTTTAAAATCAATACACAGTTTGACATTTGTTTGAGAAGGCGTAAACTCGACTTTTCGTAAACAGATAATTAACAGTGCTCTAGCGTCACTGGGTCGGCTAGCAGATATATATATATATATATATATATATATATATATATATATATATATATATATATATATATATATATACATATATATATATATATATATACATATATATATATATATATATATATATATATATATATATATATATATATATATATATATATATATATATATATATATAAATCTCAAGTATCTAGAGGATAATGAAAGAGGAAATGTTACAATCATTTAGAGATGAATGGAAAAAAATATCATTTAAGACAAAAATTCATAAAAAAATAATATAACAGAGATTTTTTAAAATCCTTTGCCATCCAATAGACATGTACAATTCAAAACAACATGTGAAGTTTGAATACATTCTATCAATTGGTTTAGAAACTAGATTTCGCATAAATATATAGCAATAATTGGTATATTTTCACCCCAGACTCGCCTAAAATACTAATTTTTTTTTTGTTTTTTTTACTCAGAATAAAATTTCTATAAGTTAGTTAATACTTATGTTTCTATTATATAACAAAAAATAGTTCAGACACTGGCTTTTAATTTTTTTTGCAAATCCTCATAACGGTCCCCTTAAGCCCTACAAACACCATCAGACAGTTGTATCTATTTATTTATTTATTTGACAATTTCAATCCCGATAAACCACTAGACAACAGTTTTTCTGTGTGACGGTTCCGATGTGTTATCTCCCATTTCAACATCCAGGGTCCTTTGATTGTGGTATCGAAAGGATCCTCTTCTTCGCGATTCTAAAGAAAGTATGAAATATTAAGTTTTAAAAAAAATTACCATATATTACCATATAAACTAAAGGTGTAATTTATTTTAATAGTCTACTTTTTTTGCACAGCTTCAGTGATTCGTCTTTACTGTAAAAATCGTTAATGCATAAAATTGATAATGGGAAAATGTACCAAATTATCTTTCTCGTACAATATCCTATTACCAAATAAATACAGTATACATATATACACGCACACACATATTCAGGCTACATATATATATATATATATATATATATATATATATATATATATATATATATATATATATATATATATATATATATATATATACCGTGCTTTTCTTGGCAGCCCCGCAGATCCTGTCAACACTAGTGAATGCCTCCCAGTCAATTTTCTCCACGGGATGTTTCTGGGACCTCATCAGCACGCCAGGCTTGATGCCGTAGAAGCCGATAGGTTTCTCTGGATCCTGCCAACGCAGGTCGATACTCCAACGGATGATGTCAGAACGGTTGTTGAGGCTGGTGAATCGGCAGAGGTTGAATAGTGCAATACAAGTTCTATTATTTTTATACTAAAATTGGTTTCAAAACGTAATGTGGCCTAGAGGTAGAGCACAAGACCGCTAACCCGAAAGTCTCGAGTTCGAATCCTGGTTCAAGTCAGTAGAACATTCAAGAGTCCACCCAGCTCTGATCAGTACCTAACTCACGTTATGTAAAGTAAAGGCGGCTGGGCGTAGTGCTGACCACACTATGACTTCATATGCCGAGGTCACAGAAACAGGTGAACTCTACTTTACTTTCCCCAAACGGACCGTCATGTTCGAAAAGGGATTTTTTAAAAACTTTTACTTAATTATTAAGCATTTTTTAATCAGTAAAATATTTTTAATAAATTTATTCAATGGCGTCACAAGGCTGGGGCGGGAGGGGGTGCTGTTAGTACCGAGTGACACCATCGAGGGGGTGACACCACGACGAAAAATTATAAAATTTACTCTCAAGTGAAAGTTTTAACCTGTTAACATAGCAAAACAGGGAGAGGGGGGGGACACCAAATGGGTCATTCATAAATGACGTGACGCTTTTTTGACGATTTTTACCTCCCCCCCCCTCCCCTGCGTCACACATCGTCACAAAAAGCCAGACCCCCCCTAAAATGACGTCACACCTCAGCCTACAACCCCCTCAAAATTGCAGTTGAATTTTTTTTTTATAAAAATTGATTACTTTTCCAAAATCTTGTCTGAACTCTGTCAAAATAGAGTATTTTCATCAATTCCTATTGCAATTTATTAAAACATTTTTATAAAACGCGAAATAATGACTAAAATTCGTTTTCTAACATTGCTTTTTTATAATGCAGAAGTGTGACGTCGCACCATCTGAACATCCCCCTCCCCTCCCCCACTCCCCATCACACACCGTCACAAAATTACGGACCCCCCCCCCTCCCCCTACGAGTGTGACGTCATTAATGGACGACCCCAAACCAAAAATGCAAAATAGTTGGAGAGGGTTTTGTTGACAACCTCAGTTACCGCATCGGGCTACACCTGACATAGTGACGCCACTGAATTTATGTACACAATGTTTACAATTTTACATCACACAGTTTGGTGTGATGTAAATTAAAATAATACTGAATACATAAAATAACAGGACACTATGGATCCCATTTGATTTTTTTATATATAGTAGAAAACATATTTAAATGAATTAAGTAATACAAGTTCATTTTAAAATTTAGGAAGAATAATGTGAAATGAACATATTTATATTTCATACGCTACTTTTACTCTCAAGAAAAACGAATATATCTCGTTTTTTTTAAAATAAAAATAACCAACCTACCTCCTATGTGGTATCATGTTGTTGATCAGCAACATTCCACCATAGGGGACTGGACACAGGACTTTGTCCTTCACAAAATCTACATCTAAAAAAAAAACATATTTTGTTAGATGGAACTTAGCTATCGATCTATTACATGTTTTCAAGCTAATTTTTAGAGTATTTGCATATCAGAACATCGCTTATAGAAATGTAAGAATATCTAATGTTTCAATCTGACTAGATATTAAATTAGTAAACTTTAGATTAAAGACTTAATTAACAAAAAAAACCCAAGATTTTAATGTGATAACCATATTAAGCAGTTGAGATTAATTATTATTTTTAAAAAAAACGAGATCAAATATGATGTAAAAGCGAAAGAGAAATTTGACCATTAGGTTTATGTAAGCCAAATATTTTAGTGGGCTTGGTGTCAACTCAGAAAGTTAATTAAGGGCGGTCTGCTTTGTTTGAGTAAATATGGTATTCTTCCAACTGTTTTAAAAATTATGTATTGATTGACTAAGCTTATACTTTTTCAATTCGTCAATACTAAAAACTAAAAACTAATACGTCTTTTGTTTATACAACAAAGCTTCAAAATGCACGAAAATTATCATTTAAAAAAATAATGTGTGTTTATCAATAAAATAGTAAAATCGTTGGTTGCTTAACACTTTATCTACTGACGGTACTTATAAGTACCAATAAATATTTGGGAAAATAAAAATTAACAAAACTAAATTTCCTTCCACATATGCTTTAAGAGTGCCAAAAGCAATACACTAACACATTGTTTAAGACAAAATTTCATTCAGAACTTAATTCCATAAATAAAGGGTTAATAGTATTTTAAAAAAATCACTAAATAATTCACAGGCTTAAAACAGATAGGTCATTAAAGAGATATAAATCATACGAACTCAGAGTTTTTTCCGCATGCTCTACATCTGTTTCAATATACCAGGTGTCTCCCCAGCAACAGGTGTGTCTGGCCACTTTGCCAGCCAGGTGACCACCTGATATTACCTGCAGAGGTGGAATCAATGACATCAATAGCACTTGAGATCGGTTGCAACTTTATAAATTGTATACAAATCAGAAACTTTGTCATTAAAAAAAAGTAAAGGTTCCTCTTTAGACTTACAATCCATTGGGAATATAAATTAGAGTTCATATGTTTCTTGGCCTCGGCATATGAAGGGATAGTTTGGTCTGCACTATCTCCAACCGCCTTTACTTTCGCCAACGTAAGTCAGGTACCCATTTGAACTGTGTCGACTCAGAGACTTCCATTAGTACCAAGTCCAAACCGATATCCGACATAGAACAGCATTCCCCTCAAAACAGCCTACCCCCTACACACTACCTACAAAACAGCATACATCTCCAACCCACTAACTACAAAACAGCATACATATCTCTCATCTTCCTTTTCAACTGTCACAATATTTTCACCTCATCACCCCCCCCCCATCTGCCTGATTCTAGTCTCCCTCCCCACCCTTACTAACAGTGTATAAATGTTCTATTACCTCCATGCATCCATTTTCTTCATCCGTATCCACAAAAGGAATCCACGCAGTTGGCTGTAGAACATTGTAGGAGTCGTTGTCTAAATACGCACTGTCTGTGTGTGTGGAAAAAAAACATATATATATATATATATATATATATATATATATATATATATATATATATATATATATATATATATATATATATATATATATATATATATATATATATATATATATATTATATATATATATATATATATATATATATATATATATATATATATATGTTACCGAGTGTATTTACTCGCAGTGCCAAATGTTACCGAGTCTATTTACTTGTGCTATCTTTGACCAGCACACAACATCAACCACAATATAGATACTCGGAAGTGCAGGTTTGCATTTATCTCTTTATTAAATGAATCAATAGAAATGCTCCACATAGCAATGCATCAATGTTCCACAAGAATACAATGAACCAACTGACCCCCACTGTCCTCACTAGTTCTCACATATCAGAATACACGAGTCCATGGTTCCTATTCTCACAAATCACAACACGTCTCCACAGTTCAGTCTTCAACTCTGTTCTCCTAAATTGAACACGTATCTACACGTATCTACAGTTCAGGCTTCTACTCTGTTCTGCTTTTACTACCAGTCGCCTTCCTATTATATCCCCTCGTATTCGTAATCGTAATCGGTTCTATCCGTTGCATCATAGCTATGTTCAGTCCGATTATCTCGCCTCCCAACTACTACGCAGTTGCTTTGTATTCGTTATCAGTCCACACCACCTGCATCCGTTGCATCAGGCCAGTTTGGCCTTGATCGTGTCTTTAGTTGACAGACTGTATTGCGTTCTTATCGTCTTTAGTAACTACACTAGTTATATATATATATATATATATATATATATATATATATATATATATATATATATATATATATATATCACTTTCTAATTTATAAATTAAGGAAAATGTTTTATAATATTGAAGAATTAAACTTTTTTTGCTTTTTATCTGGTATAGATCGTGATTAGACGGATTCACAAGTGGGAATTTGAATGATAAAAACTTCAGTAAAACGTAAAACTAGATAATTTTCTAGTTTATTTATTTATGTTTCAAAATTTTGAAATTTAAATTCTTTTTTGTTCAAGACATAACTATGACAATAACGGACAGTGTGTGTAATATGCTGGGTGACAGCAAATATATCTGTACTGTAAATGTTATACGACAGGATGTGTATAAACATTTGCAACGCAATCGTTAAAAGATTTTTTTCATTGAAATATCAAAGCAGGATGTAAAGTAAAGCAAACCCATACCACAATTGTACTGAGTTATTTTTTGTTTTTTTTTGTTGTTTGTTTGTTGTTTTTTTTTTTTTTTTTTTTTTTTTTTTTTTTTTTTTTTTTTTTAATCTATATTATGTAGAAAATAGCAACTTTCCTCTATCAGGCAAAGACGATCTAGCTCTATAGGGCAGATGAAGTACGGTTCATATGTATCTTGACATCGGCTTTAAGTAAGTATGACCAGCACTATGCCTGGTCATCTGAACTTTCCCTACCGTGACGCAGGCACCCATCAGAGTTGGGCTGAGTTCTTCACACTTGAGTGAGGTCCGAGATCCGAACTCGAGATTTTAGCAGCTAGCCGTCGAGCTCTATCCTACCCGACCACGCAGTACATGTACAAACTTTTTAAATCTTTAAACTCTTGAAGTTAGTATTCCAAAAATGTGTGAGGTACCTTGGTGCCATGGGACAGTTGTAGCCTCGTTGTCTGGTGTCTTTGTTCTGAGATTCCAGACGGGATGACCCGCAATCTCTGGTCCAATCAGCTGCTCAATCACATTCAACAATCTCTCGTTTGACCATAGCTTATGAAAAGCCTGCTCAAAATTAAAACAGTAAATGTACAATCATTAAACAAAAGTAGTATGCAAAAATATAATTGCATGTCGAGCAGTGGCGTAGGCAGGGGGGGTAGGGGGGTCATAACCCCCCCCCCTAGACCCCTCGGTATATATATAAAGTTTGAGGGGGGGGGGGTGCAAATCGAAAGTTTGAGGGGGGTGCACATCGAAAGTTTGAGGGGGGGGTGCACATCGAAAGTTTGAGGGGGTGCAAATCAAAAGTTTGTCCCCGGGTTATATACTGCTGGAAAAAATTTGAACTCCCCCCCCCCCCATGAGACGATCCTGGCTACGCTACTGAGGTCGAGTAAAACAAAATAACGAATATGTTGTATAATTTATATATTTATTAATTATATATATAGATATATATATATATATATATATATATATATATATATATATATATATATATATATATATATATGAATGTATGTCTTTACCTCGTGTGCCTCATTTGGCTTCCCTTGTTTGTGCAGGATAATGTTCGCACCGGGAAATTCTTTTTCAATGTAGGTCAACCTGTGGAACAAGTCGTGTTCCTTGTACAAATCTGAAAAGAGTAAAAAAAAAAAAACAAGTCCACGAAACACCATGGCCTTAAGTACACTGAAAGTTACATTTGAAAATACACTTTTTATGTATACTAACACTACCGGTTTTATTACTACTTTAGAATTAACCCACCCCCCCCCCCCCCCCCATCATCCATAAGCTAGTTCAAGTCGTTACCTTCTGAGAGACAAGCACCACTTACTTTTGATCTTTCTCCCGTCGTACAGCAATTGGGCCAGGCCGCCAACGAGTCTCTCTATAGCCTTTCTACAAGGTTCAAGTTCTTCCTCCGTGAAGAACTTAGGCACCAGCAGATATCCCTAGGTGGTAAAAAAAATAATTGTGTTGGAAAGGATTCTCTCCAGCACAATTAAAAATCGTGTGTCAACTGGTTATGCGCCATAGAGGCCATTGACTCCGATTTCAGCCTGCTTTTCTTTTGGATTTGCTTCCATGGCCTTTGTTCAACCAAGAAAAAACGACAAGGCAGTATAAGAGTTTCTTCCAGACATTTCTTCGTGGGGGGGGGGGGCTCTGCTACCCCCCCCCTTTCCCCCCCCCCCCCCCCCTCCGCCCCCCCCCCCCCGAACGAAATGGAATTTATATAGAAAATATATACTTTTAACAGTGTCCGCCACTCCCCTTCCGTCCGTCCGACCCCCCCCCCTCGAAAATTTCGGTCTGCCCCCCCTCCAAAAATTGAAGTGACCCCCCCCCTCCCCATCCCGAAGAAAAAAGTCTGGAAGAAACATTGAGTATGATTTGTTTGCTTTTGAAGTACCTAGAAGATAAATATCGCTACTATTAACGTTGTACACGTAAAAGCTATCATCAGAGTGGGTGGGGGGAGGGGTGACACAAACTGCTAAATTTAGAGAGGAAATAAAAGTTTAGTTGAATATTTTCAATAACTTATAAGTCAGTCAATGACCGGGGTGGGGTGACACCATAAGGTGCCGCACCGGGTGACACCCGACGCAGTGACGCCACTTATAATAGATCTATATGAAATAAAATAATCTTTTTGTCCAATACACAATAAACGTTTACGTTTTCGTTTATCTGTTTCAAAATGTTATTGCGCCCCAGTAGCGTAGCGAGGGGGGGGCGGGGGGGGGGGGGGGCGGGACATATGTCCCCGGGCGCCGAACTTAGGGGGCGCCAAAATGGGTTGGAAAAATAAATTGAAAGTTTGAAGGGGGTGCAAATCGCAATCTTGAGGGGGGGTGCAAATCGAAAAGTTTGTGTCCCCGGGCGCCGGGAAGGGTCGCTACGCCTCTGTTGCGCCGATCTGTCTTTGTTTGTGTTGCATTTACATATCTAGAGCCAAAAAAAACGCTACGCTATGATAAAACCTTTTCAGGTTTAGATAATTTTTATCCCTGTGCAAGTCGTAAGCATTCGTGTTATAATATTTTACATATCATTTTCAAACGGTGGTAACACAAACAGAATATGACAAAAACAAAAAGTTTTCATAAATGTTACATAACTATAATCTATACCTCATTTTCATGTAGTTCAAAAGCTTTGAAAAGTATGATTTTAGATTTTGTTTTCAACAAAATTGGGTAAAAAATATTTTATTTTTGTAACCGATCGTTTCACACAAAACAGTGGACTTACCTTCTCAAAAAGTTCTCGGATCAAACTCTCCTTTAACTTAAATAGCTGATCACTAAGCAAATTTTACGTCTTTTAATTATATTCTTATAATATATTAAACGGTGGAACTTTTTAATTGCACCTACAGAGTGGTGCTTAAAATAAATGTTCTGTTAAAACAATCAATGATTAATATCTAAATAATATGCAAATAACTTATGTGTATTGTCATTTGAAGTTTATACACATAATATATATATATATATATATATATATATATATATATATATATATATATATATATATGTATATATGTATATATATAATATGTGCAAATTAAAAATTACATCCAATATGCAAAGTATAAACCAAACCGTGGACTTACCTTCTCAAAAAATTCTCGTATCAAACTCTCCTCTAACTGACCAGGCTTAAGAATTTGTGGTTGTTCAGGCATAGCCCGGATATCAAATAATTCTGGCCTTCCATCGGGTACTAGACCGGGTTCTAGCATTGCGAAAAACTTTTTTTTTTTTGTTAAATAAAAGGCCTAAATTGCCAAAATAGCAGTTTTAAAGTAGATATAATGTTTTGGCGACTTATGAAATATAAAGAAAACAACGGTCTATTACGTTTCTTAACAGAAATAAAAATAAAACACTTAACGTTTGAAGAGATAATATCTGTATTTAAGCCTATACTTTTTGCCGAGTGTAATGTGACCTCTTTTTCTATTGGTTGATGGTAATCTTTTGCGTCAAGCCTTTTTCACTTTTTCTTATATATATATATATATATATATATATATATATATATATATATATATATATATATATATATATATATCATGTTTATGTTTGTATAAAAGTGTTTTAAAGTAAGTATGTAGTGATTAATACAATATTATAAAATCGGAACTATTAAATTTATAAGCTAGCATAAATGTCTGCTTCAACATCTTCTGACGGTCAAAGAAAAAACAAAAACATTGACCTGGAACCAGTGGCGTAGCGAGGTCGGGTGTCACCCGGTGCGGCACTTAATGGTGTCACCCCCCCCCCCCCCCCCCCCCCCCCGAGGCGTAGCGACTCTTCCCAGGGACAAACTTTCAATTTTCGATTTACACCCCCCCTCTCTCAAATGTTTCACTATATATTTTACTATTTTTTACCTTGGTGTCACCCCCCTAAATGGTGTCACCCCCTAAATGGTGTCACACCCTAAATGGTGTCACCCCTAAATGGTGTCACCAGGTGCGGTCCGCAACCCCGCCCCCCCCCTCGCTACGCCTCTGCCTGGAACATCCGAACCAAGGTAGCAAGGGAAACAAACAGAATCGACTTCGAGATTGTAATTTGTCCTTCGCAAATTAAGGCGAGAGATAGTGTGTCTTTTTGGGTGTGTCTATCAAGACACATTCATACTTCCGTCAATGGGTATCCTAGACAGTGTTTGGAAATGTAACAAAAAGAAACACAGAAGTAGGTTAAGTCTACCTCATCTGCAGAGGCGTAGCGTGGGGGACGGGGGGGGGAGAGACATGTCACAAGGCGCCGACCTTAGGGGGCGCCAAAATGGGTTGGAAAAACAAATTGAAAGTTTGAAGGGGGTGCAAATCGAAAGTCTGAGGGGGGTAAAAATCGAAAGTTTGAGGGGGGATGCAAATCGAAAGTTTGTCCCCGGGAGCCGGGAAGGGTCGCTACGCCCCTGCAGTCATCTGCTAACTTGGACCGCCAGGTTTGAAATCTTTACTTTCAAGATGACTATAAAAATCAGAGGCGTAGCGTGTGGGGAGTTAGGGTGCGGACCGCACCTGGTGACACCATATAGGGGGTGACACCAAGGGAAAAAATGGCAAAATGTAAAAAGAAAAATGATAATTTCACTTAATTAAATGATTAATTAGAATTAATTAAATAGTCTTTTAAGAGCAAAGTGGACGAATCCCGACACGGATGGGTGGTGGGGGCGGTGACACCATGACGTAAACCTGCTAATGATAAAGAAAACATGCAACATCCAGCTGAATTTATAACCGAATATAGATACAAATCGTTAGTATTATCTGAGCACAGTTTAAAGCAATCAGTGTGGGGGTGACGAGGGGGGGGGGGAGCGGGGTAGAGTTACAACAACTCAACGTTGCAATATATATGCTTGAGGAAAACGGTTTGGTTGGGAATCGTAATAAGTTATATGTTAATCCGTGTAAGGGTGGGGGGGGGGCTAACAAAATTAAATACATCCAGCAGAAAAAAATATTTGAATACATATACACATGCGTATACACATACTTATATATATATATGTATATATATATATATATATATATATATATATATATATATATATATATATATATATATATATAATATATATATTATTTTTTTATTTTTTTTATTCCGGGGGAGTGGGGGTGACATCATCAGGTACCGCACCGGTTGTCACCCGACCTCGCTAAGCCACTGATCATAATACTACACGAACTGTAAGATCAGCTATTAATAATTATGCTTAAACAATTTTTTTTAAAAAATTAAAAACGATATCTTATCACTTTTGAATTAAACCTGTGTTTGTTCCGGAAAATATAAAAATTACTTCTTTTTTTATTTATTTAAAAACAGTCATGACCAAAAGATAACGCTGCAAGTTAAAGAATATAAATACACTGTGTTGGCCAGAAAATGACTGGCAAGATAACCCGAGGTTAAAAGCTGTGATTTTGCAAGCTTAGATGTTTTATATACTTGTGTTTTGGCTTTTTTTTTTGTTCTTCTCGGAAATTTAAATGTGATAAAATAATAATGCCCTTCTAAGTATCTATGTCCTACTCTCTAACTCTAACCCTTCTGTATTTGTTTTAGGCTGGGGGGGGGGTATCAACAGATGGGAAATGAATGGTTGAATGGTAGAGTATACGACTGCTAACCCAAAAGTCTCGAGTTCCAATTCGTGTTCAAGTCCGTAGAACGTCCCTGAGTCCACCCAGCTGTGATGAGTACCTGACTCAAGTTAGTGAAACAAGGGCGGGTGGACAGTACTTCACTTGCCCCATGAACCGTCAGGTTTGAAAGAGCATGCTTTCGTAACAAACAGGGGGGGGGGGGGTAATGACAGTGGGTAGCTAACGGAGAGGGGGGGTGTCAGGGAGAGGAGGGAATAACGTCCTATTCCCTACCCCCATGCATCTTAGTAGTAGGCCTAGTCACTTACAGAGTTTTGGAATTTATATAGGAAACATATACTTTTACCAGTATCGGCACCCTTGTCCGCCCCCTCCCCCCTCCCGAAAATATCAAGTCCCCCCCCCACCCCCCCCCCCCCGTAGAGAAAAGTCTGGAAAAAGCACTGGTCACTTAAATGAAACTTGAGTATTTGCTGAACCATATGGTGTGGCTGTACGTTTGGTGATGTGTACAGACATAATGTTTCTGTGTTATCATTATATATTATATTTAGACTACTAACCCGAAAGTCTCGAGTTCGAATCCGGGTTCCATCAGTAGAACGCCCTTAAGTCCACCCCGTTCTGATGGGTACCTCGGAAAACAAAGGCGGCTGGGCATAGTGCTGATCACATTATCCCCTTATATGCCGAGGTCATTGAAACAAATGAACTCTAATTCAGCAGGTTTTAATGTGTTGTGTAAAAAGTGATGATAAAAACTAAGCTGAAATGGATGATTGAAGATACCGATGTCCGATAATAGATTATTCCAAAAATAGGTTTGTTAGGTTGATAGTATTGTAACCTTGACTAGCTTTCTGGTTAGAAATTAGGGCTAGGCGTATGGTAGGACTATGGTTGGGAATAGGGATAGGGTTAGCATTGACATTAGTTGTCATTATCAAGCCATATGTGTATTTTAGTTAACTATCAGTAACCTAACACCCCTTTTTTAAAGAAGATTCTATTATCGAACACTCGTATAAAAACAAAATCCTGCAAGGGCGTCTTAACTATTAGGTCATGTTAAACTTGAAACGACCTTTAACCCATATTGTAGGCTACTTGTCCTTCTCATCTGAACAATGCGTGACATGTTCAACTATTTTTAATCTGAACACCGGTTGAATATCTGTGGTAAGCGATTAACAATGGCGTCGCCAGGCGGGGAGTCAACTAGTGTGGTCCGTACCGTACCCCCCCCCCACCCTAAAAAGGGGCGCAACTGACGATCACATGTAGGCCATACGTGATGTTTTAGGTATTCTACGGATAAATAAGATTAATTTACATATAATAAATCCAAGGCTGGATTGACAAGTAATTTAAGAAATGTGGTCCTAGTGTAATGTAATGAAGTAGTAGCATCATTTCATCTACAAGAGACAGGTGAAGCAGAGTGTGTCGGGACCTTGAAGAGAAAACTACAAAGATTGATAACACTTGAAGTCAGGTTGAGAAAAAGGCACAAGATGATGTAATTATGTGATGATCTGGTTATGTGGTGATGTTATGGTGTGATGATGTGATGGTGAGATGATGTGGTGTGATGATGTGGTGTGATGATGTGGTTATGTAGTGATGTTATGATGTGATGGTGTGATGATGTGATGATGTGATGGTGAGATGATGTGGTGTGATGATGTGGTGTGATGATGTGGTTATGTGATGATGTGGTGTGGTGATGTGGTTATGTGATGATGTGACGATGTGATGATGTGATGATGTGATGATGTGGTTATGTGATGATGTGATGGTGTGATGATGTGGTGTGAGGATGTGATGATGTGGTTATGTGATGATGTGATGGTGTGATGATGTGGTGTGAGGATGTGGTTATGTGATGGTGTGATGATGTGATGGTGAGATGATGTGGTGTGATGATGTGGTTATGTGATGATGTTACGATGTGTTGATGTGGTGTGATGATGTGGTTATGTGATGATGTGATGGTGTGATGATGTGGTTATGTGATGATGTTACGATGTGTTGATGTGGTGTGATGATGTGGTTATGTGATGATGTGATGGTGTGATGATGTAATGATGTGATGGTGTGATGATGTGCTCGTGTGATCATGTGATGATGTGTTGATGTGATGGTGTGATGATGTAATGATGTGATGATGTACAGTAAACTAGTACAGGGGTCGTCAACCTGCGGCTCGCGAGCCGCATGCGGCTCTTTTGATATCAAGATGCGGCTCTCCAGCTCCATGCACAAATACTAATAATCTTAATGAAAAAAATAAAATATTTGAAATAAATAAATGTTAGTGGCTCTTCAAAACCAGGGAAATTTTGAAAATTGTAACATTTTGCTCTTCCGCTTCAAAAGGTTGCCGACCCCTGGCCTAGAGAATTCAATCACTAGGCCACGCCATCCCCTTTATTTTTATTACAAGCTTTTATTTAACTCACTTCCTCTGTCGTCAGTCGACAGTCTGTCTAGATCGAAACGCAGGAGTGAAAATTCGGACACTTCTACTTGAAGGATACGATTCACATTTGACACGTGGGTCAAGACATGAAGACAATGCAATTTGAAATTAAATTTGACTTAATTGGATGCCTAATTAATTTTTTATGAATTAATTAAAATTTGGACCGAATTAGTAAGCATGTCTATCCAATCACACCACACGCGTCATCACGTTCAATAGCTGCGCCATCAGGTTTAATAGCTGCGCCATCACGTTCAATAGACGCGCAA